TAAACATACCCACCTCCTTCAACTATTCCTCATCAGGCTTGGTTTCCAGACCTTTGATCATCTTGGTTGCCCTCCTCTGCAAACGTGCCAGATTTCCACATGCTGTAGCTCTGGGATTGGAGGAACCAGGCCTCTGAAGACCAGCTGATGGGGAACGACAGCAGAAGGCCCTTTCCCTCATGGCCTGCTTGTGGACTTTCTGTGGGCAACTGGTTGTTCACCGCAGGAAGCAGGGTGCTGAACTAGACGGGCACCAATGGGTCGGACCCAGCACAAGCTACATTTTCTGTTTGGTGCCTGCATAGGAAATGCCTTGCAAACGTGTGCACTCTATCTTGGGTCTCAAGATGGAAGAACGACAAGTCCTTTAAAGCACATGGCTACCCCATACAGGGGCGTCTTACCCATAGAGGCTAGTGGCGCGGGGCACCAGGGCGCAAAGTTCTGGAGGGCGCTAGGGAAAAGGCGGAGGCTCGACGCAGCGCTTCCTGGCATCAGCTCACTGCCCTCGCCCGCCTCTGCCATGCCGCGCCGAAGCAGCTCCACACCCGGAGCCTCCGTCTGCCATGGCCACCACAAGAAGCATCCAGCTGAGCCGGGAGGCGCCGCATCCAGCCTCCGCCTCTTCCCCGCCAGAGGAGTCGCCCTCCAGCTGCTGCCCGCCTCCTCCAGCCCCATCTCCCTAAAAAACTCTGGGAAATGGGGGGTGGCGGAGGGAGCTTTGCACCACTGCACTGAATATGCTTAAGACGGCCCTGACCCCATAAATGAATCCTGGAGACTGTGGTTTAGAATTCCCATCGCCTGTAACGAAGTACAGTTCCCAGGATTCGGGGGGGGGGGGAGAGTCATGTGCTGAAAATATATGGTGTGGCTTTGACCATAGCCTATACAGTGGTACCTCGGGTTACAGACGCTTCAGGTTACAGACTCCGCTAACCCAGAAATAGTACCTCGGGTTAAGAACTTTGCTTCAGGATGAGAACAGAAATCATGCGGTGGCAGCATGGCAGCAGCAGGAGGCCCCATTAGCTAAAGTGGTGCTTCAGGTTAAGAACAGTTTCAGGTTAAGTACGGACCTCCTGAAAGAATTAAGTTCTTAACCTGAGGTACCACTGTAATCTGCTTTGCACAGGCAAATCTGGATGAATGGTCAGTAAATAGGTTGCCAGAGGAGCCCTTGGTTTTCCAGGGACTTTGCAGCCGCTAGCACCACACCCGTTCTGAGCTGGTCCTGCCTTGACCTTGGGACACATCAGGTCAAACCTGTCTGATGAGAGACCTGTCTGATGAGACACGCCAGCCAGGGGAGCAGCAGCTGGTGAGTGGGCAAGGGGAATGGGGACAGGGAAATTGTTGCATCTCCTGAAGGTCACCCATGCTAACACCCTCACCTCCTTCCTTGTCAACATCCTCTCCCCTTGCTGGGCATATCTGCCGCGACTGTTCTGTTTAGCTGGCTAGAACAACCTGTCAAAGCTGATGAGGTTATTCTCCTTCTGTGGCCTGTAGTGTACATTGCATGCTGATAAGATCATTAGCCACGGCCGGGATTCTTTATATTGGATTTCTTATTATGCTGAATTGGGAGTCATCTTTTTATTTATTTTTTAATCCCGCTCCCCTGGAATAAGCCTGATTAATTTTTCATGGGCCTTTACACTACTGTCTCTCCAGTTATACGGTCAAATTAAAGGGGAGCGGGTCGTGAAACCTGGTGAATTTAAATGGGGTAACGGGAGCTCTTAACACTTTTGTCCCAAACAATAAATTAAAAAGACAAAGCTGACTCCATTTGCTCCAAAACAGGGAAAAAACTACGTAAAGGTCAATGGCTAGCACTATGTCAGCAAAGAGGGTGGCAGCCATACAGAAGGTTGGGACGCATTTCAGAACATTTTAGAGCTGTCTAACTAACTCCAGTGCAGCTGAGCTCAGCTTGAGGGCTTCTCACAGTCTTCTGGTTGGCCACTGTGAAAACGGGATGCTGGATTAATTGGACTTTCTGGGGAGAACACTTATGCTGATATTGCTAAACATGTGAGTGTCAGAAATCATTGCCTATCTCCCAGTCGACCCCAATCTGCCTTCTCCCCATCCCTAACAGAGGACTAGATCTGCTGTGTAGCATTCAAAATTCGTTAGATGCCAGGAGCATTTTGCCCCTGAAGTCTCCACCGCCTGGAGGTTCATGCATGGGGACCATCGGATCCTGACCGTTTTCACATGCTAACGGCGCATCCTGTAGAATTCTATCTGCAATACTTTATCTGCACAGTCAGAACAAATTTCAGAAACCCAAAAGTGGTATTGAAAAATATGGCTTTGGAGTCGCTTGGCCCCCAAATGGCAACTAGACATTCCGTTTTGGCAATTATAACCCTGGTTTCAGGAGCCACTTGGCACCTAGATAATATATATCTGAGTTTCTAGCATGCTATGTGTCCACCCTACAGCCTATCCACCCCTCTACCAGCAGTCTTATCCTCAGCCAGAAGTGACCCCATGTGATGTGGGTAAAATACCTGAGGGGACGTAAGCGGGGGAGGGGGAGGATGTTTGGCACCCTGGACCACACGCTCCTTTTGCTGTAAAAACGGGACCCCCTTCTATGTGCTTGGGGTTCGAAGATATGAAACAGCCACCCTCTGACCATTTTTATGGGTTGAAGAAGCCATAATACGTAACACTGAAATCTATTTCTGCTTTATGGCTTTTCATAGAGGCCTTCTGCAATATTCTTGCACTCTGGGAGTCATTGTATTGTATTTTCATCACACATGCTCCCTTACATATGCTCGCTACAAATGGTGCATTCAATAATCCACAAGTGGAGACATAATAGATCACTGGAACTCAGATCACATCAGTGACTCTGTTGCCTGAGTAAGTACAGTGGTACCTCTGGTTGCGAACGGGATCTGTTCCGGAGGCCTGTTCGCAACCTGAAAAGAACGCAACCTGTGTCTGCGCACACGTGGATCGCGATTCGCCGCTTCTGCGCATAACGTCATTTTGCGCGTCTGTGCATGTGCGAGCAGCGAAACCCGGAAGTAACCTGTTCCGGTACTTCCAGGTCGCCATGGGACACAACCTGAAAACGCTCAACCTGAAGCAAACGTAACATGAGGTATGACTGTAATCCAGGGCCTTCTTTGGATAGCCCAATTTTTTGCTCTCAGGGTCACTTTAGCAAAGAAGTCCATTGTATGCCTTAAATCTTCAGGCATTCCAGGCCTGGCCAAACTTGGCCCTCCAGCTGTTTTGGTACTAGAACTCCCATCATCCCTAGCTAACAGGACCAGTGGTCAGGGATGATGGGAACTGTAGTCCCAAAACAGCTGTAGGGCCACTTTTGGCCATGCCTGCCCCAATATAACCAAACTTCCACAGCTCTAACTGCACTTGCACAAGCCTGCATCCCTGTGTCTCCTTTCTTCCTTCCTTTGACAAGGAAGAGCTGTAGCTCAGGGTAGAGCGACGGCATTGTATGCAGAAGGCTAGAGCATGAGACTCTTAATTTCAGGGTCATGGGTTCGAGCCCCACCTTGGGCAAAAGTTTCCTATTGCAGGGGGTTGGACTAGATGACCCATGTGGTCCCTTTCAACCCTACGAGACTACGAGAGCTACTGCTGGCCAGTGAAGGCAGTATGGATTAAGATGGTCTGTTTCAGTGCAAGGCAGTTCCCTGTGTTCTTCTATTTCCTATGTTCCTCTGTCTTCCCTGCTGTCAAGGCACAGTCTCTCAGCTCCTCAGGAGGCAGCTAGTTCCCCCGTCTCTCTGACTGCTGTTGTCAAGCGCTGTGTACATTAGATCATGGCACCCGCCTTATCCCTAACCGACTAGCTAATAGCAACCATTAATCAGGAGGGGGGTGGGGGTGGAGGAAACAAAGGACCGAGAGAGGGAGGAATAAAGCAGGCAACTCTAGAAAGACGTTGGCATATGGCTACAAATATATAATAGCTGATCCCTCCCCTATGGTGGCTTGAGGCTAAATGACAGATGAGCTTCCTTCCGATCTCAGAGTATGTTTTATTTTATTTTAATTCTGAAAGTGGCTGAGAAACAGCTTAAGAAAAGGCCGTCTGTAGTTTAAAACACCCCCCCCCCAATAGCAATAAAGCCAAGGGCATTCTTCATAATAATAATAATGATAATAAACTAAAAGATTAATCAATTCAACCCTCTGGATGCCTACACGAAGCTCCAATGAATTCGATTGGGTTGCTCTCCGAGGTAAGCGTGCATAGGATTACTTGGGAGTAATCCATTGATCTGGGTAGATATGCATAGTATTGCACTGCAAAAGGCGTGGGGTAATAAAGATAGAAATAAATAACACCAGGTACGGCTGGGAAAACCAGCCCAACCAGAGGCAGGGCAGGGCGAGGCGGATCGGGGCGTGTGCGCAGCGGGAGCACGTGCGCGCCCAAGCGCGGGGCGACGGCGGAGGCCTCGCCGAGAGCGCCCTTGCGCGGCAGCCGGCCAAGCCGAGAGCCCTTCGGGGCGGTGGCCGCCGGGGAAAAGCCAGCGGAGGGATGGGCGGGATCGCGCAGGGAGAGCTGCTGCTCGCCCGAGCCAGCCAGCACCCGGCCGGATGGTGCCCACGCTGGCCTGGCGGCCGAGAGGTGGCCCGCGAGCCTTGACCTCGCCTAGTGCCAACGCGCCCTCGCCAGCCGCGCTACGAAGCACCTCCCGGTCGGGCACGCCGTGCGGCTCCCGGCTCCTTTCCCTGGCAGGTTGCAGGCCCGATCCCGGCGGCTCCCGCCTCCCGCGGCTCCTCCTCCTTTCGCAACCTCGCGGAGAGCTTCTCCTCCCTGCCGGAGCCGGGGTCGTGCCGGCTGGGCCCAGCCCAGGCGCCGGCGAAGGGCTCTCGGCGCGCTGGAGACGCGCGCAGCGGCGCTCCAAGGCGCGCCGCCACCAGCAGCACCACGCCTCGCCTGCTTGCCGGGCTTTGTCCGGGACTTGCAGGCAGCCGCTGCGTCCGCGGCCCTTCCCCGCCCAGCTCGGGGTGGGAGGACCGGCGGCGGCGGCGAAGGCGAAATGATCGCCTTGTTGTTGGACTCTGCCGTGCGCCTCGCTGCGCAACGAGGCAGGGGCTGGCACGGGCGGCGGCGAGGATGACCTTGCAGGGATGTCGGCGAGGGGCGTGTTTGAGCATCGTCTCCCTCCGATCCGGCAGCAGCAGCGTCGTCGGGTGACTTGAGAGTAGGAGAGAGAGAGACAGAAAGAGACAAAAGCGGGAAGGGAGGAGGGAAAGAGGAGGAGGCGGATTTGCAGTGATAGGCGGTGCGCAAGGCGAGCGCTGGCCACTTTGCCGAAGTGTCTTGAACGTGGAGAGGAGGAGAGCGCCGGGCTCCGTCCACACGAGCGGCAGCGGCAGCAACACGGGCTCCTGCCCTGCCCCGCCCAGAGCTCTTTGCGCGAGACCGCCGATCGTCTGAATCCCGCCGCCCATCCCCGCGCCTCGGGCCGCATGCGCTTGATGTTCGCGGAATTCCGCTCCAAAGGCAACCCCTTGCCGGACACGGGAGGGGGCCATGAACGAGCTCTGGCCATGAACTGCGGCGAGACCAAGGAGATGGAAGGTAAGGAAGCGGCGCAAGGGTAGCCGTCACGGGGCGCGCGCCTGGGCAGCTTTGGGTACCTGGCGACCCTCGCCTGTGACTCTCAGGTGAGCGGGGTGGCTCTTTGTTCTGAGTCCGGCTCGAGGGCTTGGCTGATGCCCTCCGGGGCTCTTCTAATCATCGCATGCATGGTGGGACTCCGGAGGGCGTTTGTTCGACCTCCGTGTTAAGTTAGGCGCGCACGGTGTGTGGATGAGGAGCAAGAGCTTAAGGGACAGAAAGGGAGGCGAAGGGCTGGGGGTCGCCAGCTATTCTTCCGCCTTGCGGGTGAGGATGAAGGATGAGCATGCCTGAGGCTCTGATGCGCGGAGGTGGTTGGGCCGAAGAGGTGGTGTGGGGCTCGGAAGGTGCCCCGATGCTTGCGAGTAGCATCATGTGCCCGTGTAGGGAGGGAATGGTTGCACGGACTCTCCCCAGCGCTGGGTTTCTGAAAAGATGTCTGACCTGGTAGCCGTCCCCTGATGTCTAGGTAGGTTGCTGTGGCGTCCTCCCATGCGTGCACGGGGAGCACTCTGCACAGGCTCAGTGTCCCTCTTGACTTCCGATTCCAATGTCAGAGGTGAAAATGAGGCTCTGTGACTCGGCTGCTTTTGTGGTGGTGGGTTCTGTCCTGGGCATCTTTAAAGTGAACAAAATGAAAAACTGGCATCCCTGGGCACATTTGCATGGGAGTCGGCTTCCTTGAGCTGGGGGTTGCCTCTGCTCCTGTATTGACCTGTATGGGATGGGAAGTGTCTGAGACTGCCAACTGACAGCAGATTTAAGGAGAGAGGTTGCCGCTGGGAATGCTTGTATCTCAGGCACAAGGAACACTGTTGCAGGGGCTGTTTTATTTCTTTTTTTAAAAAAAAGAGGTTGCGGGTGTTAAGCCTGCTAAGCCCCAGTATCTGGCCTGGGTACCCTCAGATGTTGTGTAGAGGTTATTCAGTGTGGGAGTGACTGCCATTCTGCACATGGTCAGGGGCACCCTTTGCTCTGCAGGTGCTTTTTACATTCCAAATTGCTGAAAACCATTCCCAGCCTTTAGAGAGGCTTCGCTTATAATTAGACCTTCTGTGGAGCGCTGTGAGTTTTCCAAAGCAGAGTATATTCTACCTGTCCAATGTGAGAGCTGTAAAGTGCGATAAGAGAGAGAAAGAATAGCCTTGCATCCAGTTAGAACAGCTGTGCTGGATGAGACCGATAGGATTTGAAGTCCAAAATATCTGGAAGCCTCCTGGTTGTTGGAAGCACAAGGCAACTAAATAATGTTGCAGCTTGTATGCCAGCCATGTTTACTAGGGAGTAACTCCCACTGCTTGCAACAGTACTCATTCACAAGTACGAGCACTGAGCATTGACAGACATTTCCTAAACAAGGAGGCTCCCTTTATACGGAGCGTTGTTCCATCCAGCTCGGTTATTTGTCTCCATTGATCAGAAGCTGCAGTCCAGGATTTCAGACGGGAGTTTCTCGCAGCCCTAACTGGAAATGTCATTGGGAACTGAACCTGGGACATTTGGGTGTGATTCTACCGCTGAGCTATGGTTCTTTCAATAAGCCCCACTGAATTCAGCACACATACATGTTTAGGGACAGATACCCTTCCTGAACAAAATCACCCTGGGAGCAAGCCTTGAGGACGCACAGATGTGTGCAATCTTCCAGACTGAATAATTCAGAGTAAATGTGGACGCGCGGTTCGGAGACTCACAGGGGTGAGAAGGCAGTAGAGGAGTAATCTCAAGATCACCGCTATCCCTTGACATCCTTTGATGACCTTGTCAAGCTCTGAGTGGCGAAAGAGTGGTCTCCATCAAGGTTCTCCCCAACCTCTTTTAAAAGGAGCAAAATGGGTTTCCGGTCAGTGTTTTGCAACTGCGAGGAAGGAGCCTGGGGTGGTAGTTATTCCGCAGCGATGCACGACAACGGCAGTAGTAACGCCGTCACATTTATACGGTGTTTTAAAATGTACAAAGCAGTCCATGTTTGTTCTGGGCTAGCCCGGCACACTACGCAGAACAGGTAGCTGCTATATGTGGGGCAAGAGTTCGGGCCCTCCAAACTAATTGGAGAAAGTCCTCTGGGGTGAGAATGGGGGGGGGACCTGTGGCCATCCAGATGTTGGGCATAGGTCAGGGATGATGGGACTGTACCCCAATATTTTCGACACCTTGTGGGAAGGATCCAAAGACATACCAGAAATCTAGGCTTCTGTAGTTAAAGTGGATTTAAAGCGCTCTTGTTGCCGTAACAGAGCAAATTAACTTTAAAAAAGGACTTTTGGTGGATAGGAAGTTAGCAGGAAAACACAATGCAAAGTGTGGGGGGGGATGAATGAACAATTAAGAGGAAGATGTAGATAGATAGATGATAGATAGATAGATAGATAGATAGATAGATAGATAGAGCAAGCCAGCCAGCCAGCCCCCTGCAAGTGAATGGGAATGAACGCTCACTGTCGTATAAACACCCCATAGGCAGATATGAATGAATGAGTAAAGCCCACATAAGATTTGGGAAAGCAAGTAAATGGGTTTCCTGGAGGAGGCCATACAAAATCTGAAAGACTGCATGGGCCCCATAATATCCTTTCTGGACCCTGGACCCTTGGATGTCATTTTGGGGGCTGGGACCAATGAGCCACCCCCATTTTCACTTTCTCGCCTTCTGCACAAGCAAATGGAGCAGAAGTTCCTCCTTTTTTCTCCATTCACTCCGATGGAACTGGAAAAAGAGGTCCCAGGAGAAGACATAATTGCTGCCCGCCACAACTTTTGCCCTGGGAGACAGTGTATCATAGTGGTTAGAGCCGAGTTTCAGACTAGGACCAGGACAATCTGGGGTTGGCCCCCTATATCTGAGACATGAAACTGAATGGAGTGATTTGTCCTAGTCACCCACCAACCCAGCAGGGTTGTTGTGAGGCTGGATTGGTGGATGGGAAACATACATGCTGCTTCTATACGGGGTTGGACTAGATGACCCTTGGGATCCCTTACAAGTCTATGATTCTTGGAGGAAGGACAGGATACCAACATAGCGCTTGAGTAAGTTCCATTGAGCAACATCCTTGTGAATAGACAGGCAGAGGCTGGTTGTTGTTTGTGAGTGCTTGGCTAGGTTGAGATTTGAACCCGGGATTTCTTGGGCCCCTCCGGACCAATGTCTTTTTGTGGATGTATCCTTCCAACATATCATTGACATAATAATGGTGGATTAAAGGTAAAGGACCCCTGACAGTTAAGTCCAGTCGCAGACGACTCTGGGGTTGCGGCACTCATCTTGCTTTACTGGCCGAGGGAGCCGACATTTGTCCACAGACAGTTTTTCTGGGTTATGTGGCCAGCATGACTAAGCCACTTCTGGCACAATCGAACACCGAAACCAGAGCAGTGCACAGAAACGCCGTTTACCTTCCCGCCGGAGTGGTACCTATTTATCTACTTGCAACTTTGACGTGCTTTCGAACTGCTAGATTGGCAGGAGCAGGGACTGAGCAACTGGAGCTCACCCTGTCGCAGGGATTCGAAGCGCCAACCTTCTGATCAGCACGCCCAAGAGGCTCAGTCGTTTAGACCACAGCACCACCCGCGACCATTTAGTGGCGCATTAGCTGTGGATTTATACTTGACCACCCGCATGCCCTTCTGCTTTATTAGGTATGCAACACTTCTTACCGCATAATTGCTGGAAAACAAATCCGTATGTCTACCCTGAAACTTTTGCAGGTGCAGAGGGCATTGAAAGCAGGTTCACTTATAACAGCCCAGATAGCATCACAAGTGGAAATCATCAGGAACGCAGAAGGAAAGGGATCTCTGCAGGGACCCTTTATTCCCTTACAGCTCAAGCCATGCAGCCATGATGTTTGAGGCTGCTCTCCTGTACAAAGCATGTAGCTCTTAGGTCGTTCTACTGCTTCACGTGCAATATCTCAACTGTCATAGAATTGTAGAGCTGGAAGGGACCCTGGGGATCATCTAGTCCAACCCCTTGCAATGCAGGAATATGCAGCTGCCCCATACGAGGATCGAACCTGCAACCTTGGGGTTGTCAGCACCACGCTCTGACCAACTGTGCTATCCAGGCATCAGCCCTCATGATAGTCTTGCAAGGAAGAGATACTTCCGTTGACAAAGCATGAGGCTCTTAATCTCAGGGTCGCGGGTTTGAGCCCTACATTGGGCAAAAGATTTCTGCATTGCAGGGGGTTGGACTAGATGACTCCGAGGGAACCCATTCCAACTCTGCGATTCTAAAACATATTGCTGGTGGTTCATGTAAGGCAGAGGAATGGCGATGGCCCTAGGTAGCTTGAGACAAGTGGGGCACCTGTGCAAGGGGACCCTGCTGTAACGAACGAAAGCAACACATCCGCATCAACACCAAACCAATATAAATTCCCTTTCCCCAAATCAAGTCACTAGTCCATTTGATCTGTGAGCCACTTTGGTTTGCTTCTGGGCCGGATGTGTTGGCAGCCGCCCCAGTTGTTTAAACAGTGGTGTGCCCTACTTACAACACTAAAGAGGGGGACGACGGCCCCAGTTTGTTACAGGTGCTGGGAATTGTAGTTCTCAAATCCTGGGAATTATAGTTCACCACACACAGAGCTCTAATTCCCAGCACCCCTAACAAACTACAGCTCCCAGGATTCTTTGGGGGAGCCGTCTGCTTTATCTGGCCTGTGTGCGTGCAGCCATAGTCTAACGATCTAACCATTGTGACACGCTGTCTCTCTAGCGTGGATAAGCAGGTCGGGGAAGTAACAGCCCCTGCCATCAAACAATTGCAGCTGTTTTGCTCCAAGTGCTGAAAGCTCTGGCTATTTCTCTCTGCGGTTCATGCTGCTTCCCAGCTGAGCAGGTGCCGATGTCCTTGCATCACATCCTTGCTCTGGTTTGCGCTTAGCAGCCCATCCTAGCCTTAAAGGCTGAGGCAGGACAGCCAGCCCCGTGACTCAACTCAGTATTATTCC